GAAATGCATGGAAGATGCTTCTAGTGTGTTTCATTGTACCAGTCAATGTTTCAGATGCTGCAATTTCAGCAAAGGAATGACCAGGTTAATGTTTTTGGAGCAGGTTAACATTTTTCATGCCGTTTTTGGTGAAGGTCTCATTTCCAAGTAACTATGAGCCCTATAATGACCAAACTTGCATGAATGATACATTTAAGGATGCATACAACCAGGTCTGCTTTGGATGCTGAATCTGACCTAAATTTTTATGCCCCCCTTTGAAGAAGAGAGAGCATATTGCATTGCTGCTGTCGGTCTGTCGGTCCATTTAGTTTCCGTTCATTTTCTTCACAACCATTGCACATACTGAAATGAAATTTGGTATACAGGTATATCAGATGAATAAGATAAGGTAAGATTGGACTTAGAAAAATTCCAATTATTTGCTGTTTCCATTCATTTTCTTCAGAGAGGTTGCACATATTGAAATGGAATTTAGTATACAGATTAGTCAGATGAATATCTAGGTCAAGTTCTGTTCTGGGTATGATTGCACCATTTTTGACAGAGTTATGCCAATTTGGGAGGGAGGGGGACATAAGTGTTTTACAGACATCTCTTGTTTGAATGAGTGAACAGGTTAAAGTTAATTTCCAAGTTACTATTAGCCCTATAATGACCAAACATGCATGGAAGATACATCTGGGGAAGCATACTACCAGACTTGCTTCGGATGCTGAATTGGACTTACATTTTCTGGATGAGTGAAAAGATGAGTTTTTATATAGATTTTTAGGTCACCTGAGTAAACTCAGGTGACCTATTGCTATCTGTTTTCGTCCGTCGTCGTGCGTCGTGTGTTGTGTGTTGTGTGTTGTGTGTCGTGCGTTAACATTTGGACATTTTCATCTTTTCTCTGCAGCCACTGAACCAATTTCAACCAAATTTGGTACAAAGCATCTATGGGTGAAGTTTAACAAAAATAGTGAAAAGGCCTGCCCCCCAAACTGGGGGGTGGGGCAAAAACCAATAAAATTAATGCAATCTTTAAAAATCTTCTTCTTTACTCCTGGACACCAAGCAGTCAAACTGTTTGCATGATTGTAATCAGCATTGAGTCCTCTACCAAAATTGTGAAATTTGGCCCCTGGGTCAGGGGTTCTAGTGCTAGGGCGGGGCTAAATAAGTATAAAGTGAAAATGCATTATTTCTTTTAAAATCTTCTTCTCTGCTACTGGGTATTAAATAAGCTAACTAAGTGCATAGTTATGATTACAAGAGTGCTTCTACCAAAATTGTGAATTTTATGGCCCCAGGGTCAGGGGTTCTGGTGTTAGGGTGGGGCTCTATAGATTATATAGTGAAAATACATGAATTCTTTAAAAATTTTCTTCTCTGCTCCTGGGTATTAAATAAACTATCTATAAGTGCATAGTTATGTTGAGCAAGAGTGCTTCTACCAAAATTGTGAATTTTATGGCCCCAGGGTCAGGGGTTCTGGTGTAAGGGTGGGGCTAAATATAGATTATATGGTAAAAATACATGAATTCTTTGAAAATCTTCTTCTCTGCTCCTGGGTATTAAATAGCTATCTAAGTGCATAGTGGTGATGAGCAAGAGTGCCTCTACCAAAATTGTGAATTTTATGGCCCCACTGGGATAGGGGTTCTGGTGTTAGGTTGGGGCTCTATTGATTATAGATAGTGAAAATACATGAATTCTTTAAAAATTTTCTTCTCTGCTCCTGGGTATTAAATAAACTATCTAAGTGCATAGTTATGTTGAGCAAGAGTGCTTCTACCAAAATTGTGAATTTTATGGCCCCAGGGTCAGGGGTTCTGGTGTAAGGGTGGGGCTCTATAGATTATATGGTAAAAATACATGAATTCTTTGAAAATCTTCTTCTCTGCTCCTGGGTATTAAATAGCTATCTAAGTGCATAGTTATGATGAGCAAGAGTGCTTCTACCAACATTGTGAATTTTATGGCCCCAAGGTCAGGGGTTCTGGTGTTAGGGTGGGGCTCTATAGATTATATAGTGAAAATACATGAATTCTTTGAAAAAAAAATCTCTGTTCCTAGGAATGAAATAAATTAATTACATAGTTATGATGAGCAAGAATACCTCTTCCAAAATTTTGATTTTATGGCCCCAGGGTCAGGGAATCTAGTGATAGGGCGGGGCTCTATGACAGATTATATAGTGAAAATACATTAAATCTTTGAAAGTTTTCTTCTCTGCCCCTGGGTATTTAGCAGATGAACTACCTATATAGTTATGATGAGCAAGGCGCTAATCTTCCAGAATTGTGAATTTCAAGGCACCAGGGTCAGGGGTACCACAGGGGGGCTGTACTTATATACTGAAACTGGATGAATTGTTTGAAATCTGCTCCTTGGTATTTATCAAATATTTTTGGAAAGCAAGGGTGCCTTTTCAAAAATTGTGCAATGTGTGTATCTAGGCTTAAAGGGTCAGGGGTTCATGTGTGATAGGGGCATTACTGATTATTGCTGAATATTACTGATTACTTGAAATGCATTTTTTGTTCCCCTACCCTGCCTATGGGTATTAAGTAAACAAACTAAGCAACTGCTAAGTGTATTGTTATGATGATCAATGGTGCCTCTTTCAAAATTGTGAATAGCATAGCATCTGGCTTAAAACATGAATCAAATTTAATCACTGGAAAGTTGTTGCATAATGCTCAGGTGACCTTTAAGGCCCATGGGCCTCTTGTATGCAAGTATGAGCCCTATGTTGAGCAAACTTGCATAAATGATAATTCTAAGGATGCACTCAAATGGACTTGCTTTGGATGCTGAATTTGACATTCATTTTCCAGATAAAAGACCAGGTAAAAGATATGGGTGCAAGTTTAACACCAAAAACCAAAAGGCCTGTATTAACCAAACTTGCACAAATGATGCATGAAGGGATGAAAACTCCCAAACTTGCTGGATGCTGGATTTAAATGACATTTTTTTGATGGGTGACTAGTTTGAAGTTTTTGGTTAGGTCTATTCTAAAGTAACTGCAAGCCCCATCAGATCAAAATTGTATAAATTTTGCATTTTTGGATGTACACTTTTAGAATGTTGGTTAATAGTGTGACTTTGCCTTACATATTCATTGAGGTGAGCTCTATAATCTCTGAGTACCTATTTGTTTTTATCCCCTGTTTACCCCTTTATAAACATCTATAAAACCAGCATGTTTTGTCATTCACTCATCAAATTGGACATTTGTTGTCTGTAAGAGACTGTGTGAGAATTTAAATAATAACAACAGCCTTTATAAGGAAGATACCTCCAACATGCATATCCCTCTATTGTACTAAGACCCACCTATTTCATTAATCTTTATTCATGAAAGAACTTACCAGACCAAACTTTGCTATATCATACGGTCTAAAAATTCATGGATAATGCAGTATTCTTCAAAATAATAACAGTACAAACTATGGACGCTATTCTTAAGCAGTCATTTTCCTTCACTCTTGTTTGAAAATAACCAGAATGATTATATTAGATGTAATATAATTCACTGTATAGAAAAAGGGGCCCCAGACCTTTATTATGTTACCTGATACTTTGAAGGAAAAAATTCTTAGAAAGCACTAATTAAGATATAACTTTTATTTGCAGCACCACAATGGTTGTCTTCCTGTGAGAATAAGAGCAGTTCCAGAGGGATCTGTTGTGCCTTACAAAAATGTGCTTTTTACTGTGGAAAACACAGACCCCAAATGCTTCTGGCTGACAAATTATCTAGAGGTACAATTACAATACTGAAAAGTCTATCTAAAGTTTCTCTTTGTTTGACAATTACAATACTGAAAAATCTAAAGTTTCTCTTTGTTGAAAAAAGTAAGTAAATAAGTAAATTTTACAGTCGGCATTTTGTACATTGAGCAATAAATAATATGAGCTCTGTAGAGCTCTTAAACTGACAATTACATGTACAACACTGAAAAGTCCATTTAAGTTTCTCTTTGTTGGAACTTTAAATTCCTTAAAGTATAGGTCTACACTTGCATTATGTCATTTACGAATAGTAAAACCGGAACCACACTTCCTTTTTCCGAGATGTGATTTTTGAATTATATTGGTTTGACTTTTACTTAGCGTTTTAACATATCCGGTAAGATTTTGCTCGAAGTCGCTCGTTCAACATAACGTGGCACACAAGTGATTCTACACTAAATTAATTAAAAAGAGAAGACTTGGAACAACTTTCGGTTGACGGAGTTAGGTAATAAAACGACATTTCTGTGAAAATACATGTGTAATATGCCGCGCCTACATGGACTACGAACATTTTACATCATTTCAGTACATAACTTCGGGGCACTATTGTCGGTGGCCAAGTTAAAGCTAATAGTGATAATTCGCAAGAAAAATAATTACTACGATTTGACTTAGACAAATTTAATTAATTTAATCAAAAATTACAAAATTCACTTTGAATAATGATTATTTCATAAGACGCAAACCCCTCCCCCCCTCCAACCGGCTTACCAAACAATCACAATGCAAAATTATCTTTAGGCTAGAATAATTATTTTTATATGAAAGAAGTTGATTCACTTGCAGCATACTTACTTTCTGTAACAAAAGCATCCAGTTTGTGAGAATCGGTCAATCACATCCATTTTCATTGTCTCCAATTTACAGACAAGTGGTGTTTTAATGTTTTAGAGTATTATACAATAAATTTTAGGGACAATAGGTATTGGGTGTGTATTATTATTGTTTTAAATATGTACAACTTTGTTAATTCTGTATACATTCAAACTTTAAAAGTACTACAGGAAAATGTGACAATATATTATTATTTCAGATATGAAATTTGGGGGTCACACAGTGTAGAGCTCATACCATGAAAAGTAATGGGTCGACATATGATTTTTTTTAGCTAATTCTTTTTGTTAAATGTTATTTAGTAGAAAGAATGCAAATTTTTGAAGTTTGAGTCCATAATGTTTTCTAAAATGACTGAGATTGACCTGTGAAGCATATTTTCTCATATTTCATTTTGATACTTTAGCCTAACAAAGTGCAAATAATTATAATAATTCATGCAAAAAAATGATAATATATATGGTTTACTAACAGGTTTCTACTCTATTTTGTGTATTAAAGTTGAATATTTAGACTTCAATTCATTTAAATACAACAAAATCTAGGAAAGGTAAATTTCAGTATTTTACATTTCGAGATATGTACTCCGATAGGCAATAGCGGAAAAGTGAACATGTTGACATATAATTTTTCTTGTGTCTATCCATTGCTGGGATGTATATCTAACTTATAAAAGCAGATTTTTAAAGATTGAGCCCATTTAGCGCCGAGTGTAGAACTACCTTAAGATGTAATATATTTCTCTGATAGAGAGATGACTTTCTGAAGACATCTTTTCATGAAATTCAATGAATTAATTGTTCTTGTCAGAATGTAGCTGCAGATCTGTAGCGTTATGATTTTATATATTTGTCTTTGGCCATAACGCTACAGATCCCATAAAGCAAAAAAGGTGCATTTTACGGCGCAATATTTTTTGTGTACTTTTGGAGAAAATTTCTCAACTTTCCAGCATCGGTCAATCAACTACCTTTCACTCACAAATTCTAGACACATTCTGTAGCTAAGGCAAAAAAAAACTGCTGCATCAGTTAAAAAACAGCCGCATTGATAAATTTTTATTGACATATTGAAAAGGGAAATAACTCAATTTTCTATTTTTTCAGGTTGAAAAAGAAAATTGAGTTATTCCCCTTTTCATAGATGCTAAGATGACATTTTTATTAGAAAAACAATATATTTCTTTTTAATTTACAATATTTTATGAAATAACTTGTAAATAAATGTTTGGAATAACATTATTTAAAGTTGAATGCATATTATAATTAATTTCAGAAAACAAAAATTAAGAATTAGCAGATATTATCATTTTATTGTACAAATGACTTAAAAAAGGTGCAAAACCTGTCCCCCCCCCCCCTTCCCCCCCAAAAAAAGCCTGCCTGTCGCATTGAATTTTGAATTTTTTGGCCTGAGAAACTATTCATTAATTTATTTTGCCTAATGTGTATATTTTATCCATCTCCCACCCATTTCAAGTTGTCTCTACAGGCAATAAACTCGCTTGAAGTGAATTTTCAGCAATCTAACACATGATTTTAATCAAGTGAGTTTATTAATTGTAGAGATGATTATAAAGGGTTCATAGATAGAAAAAATATACAGATTAGTTAAATAATGTGCCTAGAATTAGGGAGTGAAAGGTAGATGCTGGAAAGTGGAGAAATTCTCCCCAAGAGTGCGCTAAAAATATTGTGCCATAAATTGCACCTTTTTTGCATTACGGGATATGTAGCTTTATGGTCAAAGACAAATATATAAAACCATAACGCTACAGATCTGCAGCTAGTCAGAATGTTATGTTCATAGTTTGTTGTTTTTTTTTTTGGAATGAGGACCGTTTCATAGTCAACTCAAACAAATCTCATCTTTTGCACAGATGTTGATTTTTAGTTTTTATTGCCAATATTTTCATTAATTATCTATAATAGTCAATCTAATGAAAATTAGATGTTAGATCCGCTTGCATACTTGCTACACTAACATCTAACAACATCCCAAAGAGGGTCACATCAGAGGTCAAATTCGGAACAGCTCTAGACTCATTCGCTTCAACAATATACAATCATTTTGCAGGCGACGATTTGATTGGTTGAATTTGACCTCTGGTGTGACCTTCAATGAAATGTTGTTTGATGTTAGTGTAGCGAGTATGCGAGCAGATCCTCATCTAACATCTAATTTTAATTAGATTGCTATAATAGTTTACCTAAAACTTTTATACTAAGTTCCTTAACTGTCAAAATTGAGATATTTCTGTCTCTGGACATATAAGTCGATCAGATCTTTTAATTGTTTCAGAAATTTCGAGTGCAGAATTGTTAATAAACATTTAATTAATAATTTGTTTCATTAAAAAATATTTTCAAGGGCAAGGATGGAAAGATAACTCTTGTTGATTGATGCATATTATTTTACAAGCACAGAAAACTATTTGATATTCTTTTTTAAAAAGCAATGCTTCATTATGTTTTCTAATCAGAATTAGATAGGTATGACATTAATCATCATTTTCATGTTAGGGTATACCTCATACTTTTAATTTTTATTGTGAAATAAAAATTATTGATATTTTTATTTACCATACCAAATTTTCTTCGCATCATGATAAGACATATTATTCATTTCTGAAAAGTACTGCAAACTATTTTATTTCCATTTGAATCTAATGCTATAATTGCTGTTGATGAAAATAAATGTTTGGAATGAAGAAAATAAATTTAAATTGACGAAATTTGGAACAGAGGGATATTTCACCTTGAATAATAAAGGAAGAAGAGTTACGAAAGATTGAGGGTCATAAAAAAACAATGTAAAATATATACATTTGTGGTATCTCTCCACTATATAAACATACAGAAAGAAAATATCTTCAATTCTGTATGAAGTTTATCGGAGGTCAAAGGTCAATACATGACCGAATCACATGGCGCAATAATATCTACCCGGTACATAAATTATAAAATGACCTGCTCTACTTGCTTTTCATGTATAAAAATGAATAAAATAAGCAAGTTAAATGATAATTATTTTATTTTAAATGTAAACAAGTATTTCATACAGTTTTTGGGCTATCGATTCAACCTGTGTACATAGAGAAAGCTAGGAGCCTAGCGTTTGTTTACATTTTTCTTCACTTTTGTCAGCTGCACAGTCTCTAACGTTCATCCTTATTTTTTGGATAGACCTTTGGTTAAATTTTCATGATAAACTTTTATTTTATCTTTAAATTTTACTCACGATAAATGTGTATATCTGTTGGAAAATATCTTTGCAATCATGCCATGAACAAGTGCCAAACACCTAGGCGTTTTCGTAGTTCAATGTAAAGCTGTCGCCAGTGTCTCCGTGTTTATCAGTGTTTTACGATAAGTATGCCTTTAGTTACTGAAACCATAGAATGTTTTTGATCAAATTGCAAATTAACTGGCCCGGACAAGTGTCTCAGTCCATCGGATCCATCCATCCCTTTCCAGCGACCGAAATTCCTCCAACTTTTTATCGTCAAACTTCGGACGTGTTTCTTGTGTCTTTTCAGCATCGATTAACATTTTTCACGAATAAAATATTCCCAGACAACAATCTGTTCACTATTACTGATCACAAGTAGCCTTTCACAAAATATTCCCTTCGAAATAGATTCCTTAGCCTAATGAATTTGAAGCGTAACCGCCATGCAAGCCGATTTACACCTTGCGTCATTTTTCAAAATCTACGACGGACGGTTAGTGCAATAATTTAAATTCGAAAATACTCAATTGTCTGTCTCAAATGTATATATAAGTAATAAATAACAAGTTTATAAACTTCAATGGGAATTGAAGTGGGTTTACGTGATCAAATCTTCTGAGAAGGCCTTCGGCCTTCACAGGATTTGATCACATGACCGACCCACTTCAATTCCCATTGAAGTTTATAAACTTGTTATTTATTTCTTAATTAATGTTAATGAATTAATTTTTTGGTGGACTCTAGCAGAAAAAATTGTATTTTAACTTACCAAAATATTGATGCTGATCAGAGTTTTTCCTTTGCAGACACTCCTTGTACAAGTATGGTATCCTATGACTGTTGCTACAAATTCAAGATACCAAAAAGAAACAATTGCAAGCTATTTACATGAAACAGCTGACAATCTGGATTCTCTTCCATTTAAACTCCATGACTTTGGGTTCCGTGGGTCAACGTCAGTTGAGGTAAGCACAGGAGATTAACATACGTATCTAAAGTTGGACACTAGTGTAGGATTTCCGTTATAGCGAGATTTACTCCCAAAAATTACATTGAAGGGGGGGTCCTGAGAGCAGACTTTCCATGGGAAAAATCTGGACTGATTTTAAGCTCAGAGACCGGAGGAACTTGTTCATTAGTAAGGTGTCCGTCCTGAAGTGGTTTTCATAAAGAGATGACTATTTTAGAAAGACATTTGTTACTAGTTAATTGTGTAACTAAACACGATATTGTCAAACTCCTGAAGATTGAAAAAGGACCCACAGAGTTTATTTTGCTGTTGTGGTTTTTATTGAGTTGGCTTGCGTAGCAAGCTACTCCCTGTTGACGCAGCCGTTTCAGAGCTGTAAAATTTCTCACACATTCATCAAGGTGATCCATACGCCAAACATAATAGTTCTAGCAAAAAATGCTTTTGTTTGAGTGATTGTATAAACTTAAGAGGTAAAAACTGTATAAAATTTCATACTGTAACATTATTTATGCCTTCATGCTTTTAAAGAAATTTTTGATTTAATATCTGTAGTACGATGTACATGCAATTACTGCGTATGAATATATGTTCAAGCATGTTAGGTGGATCTTCCCATCTGAAGTTTATTTATAATTGACCTAGAATACTCCCTAACACAAACACCTGCTGCTCGCATTAGCTGCAGCTAGTTGTTGTTGAAAATCTATTTTTAGAATCCAGATTTGCTGTGGGAATCTTTAACCTAATTATTCCATAACACTAACCACTTCAGCTAATGTGCTTAAATTCATTAAAGAATCCAGTCAAAATAATACGGAAGGCCTTTAGTGCCAACCTGTATATATAAAGGAAAAGCAATATACACTTTATTTATGAACCGAACATGGATCAGACATGTAATATTCAATCTCTTAAGATGCAAAATAAACTGAATATAGTAAGGTATGGTGCCCAGATGTATGAAAAAGCTCAATTGACTCAAGCGAGTCAACTCGCAGGCCCTTCAGGCCTTTGATTTCATATACAATTACGTGTGTGGATTTGTACTATCTTTTTCTGGTATATATAATGCTTTGCTTTAATTATCCAAAATCCATTCCTCATAGATCATTGGGTAAAGGGAGTTTAAATGGTTAAAATGAAGGGCCTAGCCCCTTTACAAGAGGAGATAATTAAAAGGCAAAAATTGGGTGGGGTCCTTAAAAAATCTGAAGAGCAGAGCAAATACAGACCTCTAAAACATCAGAGGTGGGATCTGGTGCCATAGAGGAGTGAGCATCCCCTGCTGAACGGTCACACCCACTGTGTGCTCCTTGTCACTATTGGGAAATAACGGAAAAATCCATCGTCAATTCAGTGTATAAATAATAGACTAACAATTACAGTGGAGTCGCCAATTCTGGGTCGTCTCCAATTCCGGGTCACTCGCATGTATTTTATGCCATATTGTTAAAATTTAAGCGCAAAAAACTTGATGAATACGCTAGTCATAAAGATTTGGTCTTTCTGTATGTAATTAATTACAAAAATTTGAATATCAACTTTAAGAGAGCATCCGGCAATCGAAATTCTGAAATGCACGCATTATAGACTTGGATGTTTCTGCTGCGGTGACGGGCTACTTTTGTTTTTGTTCACTGCAGGAAGGCTGATATAAAAGTTCTAGATAAATAATAAGAGCTCTAAAGTATGGCAAATGCATTTAGTTTCATCTCAAAAATCAATCATAATGATCACTGCTCAAATAAAATTATAATGATTATTAAATCAAACTGTAGTAGTTTCTCCAATTGCGGGTCATGTAATCTCGTGACATGAACATGTCAAAATTCTATGTACAAAACAAATCGACAACCATGTATTTACCTTGATTATCAAAAGTATTCTAACTGGTAAATATTTTTTCTAAAAATTAAAATCGAGTTAATCCTTCAAATGCATTTTTTAAATAAATGAATTTAATTGTATTATTTTTAATCCTCATACATTTTTTTAGGTCACCTGAGTCACTCAGGTGACCTATTGCTATCTGTTTTTGTCCGTCGTCGTCCGTCGTACGTCGTTCGTCGTCAATCGGTCGTAAACTTTTGAACATTTTCAGCTTCTTCTCTGCAACCACTGAACCAATTTCAACCAAATTTGGCACAAAGCATCTATGGGTGAAGGGGAACAAAATTTGTGAATTTCATGATCCCTGCCCCCTGGGGCCTGGGGGGTGGGGCCAAAACCACTAAAATTAATGCAATCTTCAAAAATCTTCTTCTTTACTCCTGGACATCAAGCAGTCAAACTGTTTGCATGATTGTAATCAGCATTGAGTCCTTTACCAAAATTGTGAAATTCATGGCCCTGGGGTCAGGGGTTCTTGTACTAGGGCGGGGCTAAATAAGTATATAGTGAAAATGCATTATTTCTTTGAAAATCTTCTTCTCTGCTCCTGGGTATTAAATAAACTAACTAAGTACATAGTTATGATGAGCAAGAGTGCCTCTACCAAAATTGTGAATTTTATGGCCCCAGGGTCAGGGGTTCTGGTGTCAGGGCGGGGCTCTATTGATTATATAGAGGAAATACATGAATTCTTTGAAAATCTTCTTCTCTGCTCCTAGATTTTATATAATTTAACTAAGTACATAGTTATGATGAGCAAGAGTGCCTCTACCAAAATTGTGAATTTTATGGCCCCAGGGTCAGGGGTTCTGGTTTTAGGGCGGGGTTCTATTGATTATATAGTGAAAATACATGAATTCTTTGAAAATCTTCTTCTCTGCTCCTAGGTTTTATATAAACTAACTAAGTACATAGTTATGATGAGCAAGAGTGCCACTACCAAAATTGTGAATTTTATGGCCCCAGGGTCAGGGGTTCTGGTGTCAGGGTGGGGCTCTATTGATTATATAGAGGAAATACATGAATTCTTTGAAAATCTTCTTCTTTACTCCTGGGTATGAAATAAACTAACTAAGTACATAGTTATGATGAACAAGAGTGCCTCTGCCAAAATTGTGAATTTTATGGCCCCAGGGTCAGGGATTCTGGTGTTAGGGCGGGGCTGTATTGATTATACATGTATAGTGAAAAAACATTAAATCTTTGAATATTTTCGTCTTTGCTCCTAGGTTTTAAGCAGATGAATTACCTATATAGTTATGAGCAATCCCTAATCTTCAAGAATTGTAAATTTCAAGGCCCCAGGGTCAGTTGTACCATAGTGGGGGGGGGGGGGGGCTGTACTTATGTACTGAAAATGAATGAATTGTTTGAAATGTGCTCCTTGGTATTAATCAAATATTTTTGAAAAGCAAGTATGCCTTTCCAAAAATAGTGCAATGTGTGGATCTAGGCCTAAGAGTCAAGGGTTCATGTGTGGTAGCGGCACTACTGATTATTGCTGAATATTACTGATTAGTTGAAATGCATTTTTTGTTCCCCTACCCTGCCTATGGGTATAAAGTAACCAAACTAAGGAACTGCTAAGTGTATAGTTATGATGACCAGATTGTAAATGCTATAGCATCTGGCTTAAAACATGGATCCAATTCAGTCACTGGAAAGTTGTTGAATAATGCTCAGGTGACCTATAAGGCCCAGGGGCCTCTTGTTTTAATTCTGCATACTGCAATTTGTTTTGTTGTAATTGTTTTAAAAATAATTTAAACATATTTCTGTGGTTGTTTTACTTTTTTCCCAAGCTGCATGAATTGTTTTATGTTTCAACATCATAAAAATCGTGTTCCGAAACATTCCATGAATATTACACGACCGTGAAGTCACATGACCCGGAAATGGAGAAAATGATTCGTAACTGGGGAAGCTAGGCTTTGCTGAAATACCCCTGTAAATATTGTTCCCGTGTAGCTACTTTGAAATTGAAAAAACGTTTGGATGACTCACAATTTGTTCTTTCAATACATATATTGCATAAAATATAAATCGAACAGATTTGCAAAATATCAACGAAACACCCTGACGTGACCCGGAATTGGCGACTTCACTGTAGTATTAAAAACATCAATCAGCATTTGACCCAATGTTAAATTGTATTTGCTGTCAAGGTCATTGTATCCACCATGGAACTTACAAAATGATGACTTTAAACGAGACTGCTGATATTTTTATTTCATCTTTAAGTAACTATAATCCATATTGACCAAACTTGCATGGTTGATACATCTAAGGATGCACACTATCAAGCTTGCATCTAGATTTTTCAGATGAGTGAATTTAGGATGTACATTTCTAAATTATTATAGTTTAATGTGGGACTTTGCCTTAATTTAAAAGAAAAACATTCATTGAGTTGAGCTCTGTAATCTCTGATTACCTATGTTTATGCAAAAAATGACGAAAAAAAAGGGATTTTACAAAACAAAAAAAATGATGGAAATATGTTCAAATATCTATATTTTAAATTTCAAGAGCATATATTTATTACTTTTTCTTTTATAACATTTTTATAACCATTTCTTTAAGAGCTTCATGTTATTGTAACATCAAAAATGCATTATTTCTCTGTCAATTAATCTACCTATCAGTTGAAAAATCATTTTAGAAATCATTTATGTAAAATTGTAATTAAATTTTTCAACCTTTAATTTCTCAATTTTGCTAAATCTATTTTTAGTGAAGTAAATAATAAATTGTTTTAAAACGGTAAATATGCTTCATTTTACTTTGATGCACCAAATATTGTGCAATATATGAAAACCTAATTGGCCCCCTTAAATATCACATACTGGTATGGATACAGTCCACTAATTGTTTTCCCACAGGCCACATTGTTAACATTTCTTCTCATAGCAATGTCCCTAATTTTCATTCAGCATTGAGTGACCCCTCAAATCAAAGCACATCAAGTTGTCTTTCCTTGGTTAAAATCACAAGGTGGCATGTCAGATTCGTTTTCTGGCAAAATGCGTCTGTCTGCGGGTTTACCTCTAAAAATGAAAGTGAAAGTAGGGGAATTTCAGAGTTCTCACTGGCGTTATAATACACAAAATAATTCGGCTGACCTAGCTTCTTGATAAACTACATTTGCCAAACTTTTTTGGGTAGGAAAGATACTCGGATACTCCTAATCAACAAGTGTGAGGCTCAGTTCAGTACATCTGCACAATTTTTTTTATGCAAGTCTGCAAATTCAGGAACTTGTAATTTTTTCTGCACTACTTTCTTCTCCTACCGATTCTAAAAATAATTAGTGGGATGTACCCATATACTGAGGTACAAAGTACATGTACTATGAATATACTTCAGGATCTATATTCCACATAGATCATGTAGACTGACAATTGCAGTATCACAGACTGAACTTGTCTTTGAAAGATTGTTGGAACTAAGTTTTCAAAAGATATAGTAGTAATTTCTATTAATATAAATTTAATTATTCACTTGTGACCCATACTGTTTTTGATTGTCATATGCCGTGTGTTTAAACTATCCATGGATGTCAGTTTTTCTTTTTGCATGAACTATCATGCTAGTAGTTAATCATAGATTTATCAACATCCTTTTTTTCATCCTTTTTCTCTATGGTGATTTCAATATAATTGTTTTATAGTCTGCAGGAATTGGTGGTGCTGCTCATCTTGTTAATTTCAAAGGAACAGACACAATAGCTGCTCTCTGTGTTGCAAGGAAATATTATGCTTGCCAAATAGCAGGTTTTTCTGTTCCTGCCGCAGAACACAGGTAAAATAGAAATGTCTTACAATTTGTTTAACCATACTGAAATCATGAAAAATTAATTCAGAGAAGAATGTATGGTGAGTCGTTGAGTTAAAAAAAAATGAAACAAACAGACACAAAGATCATTTAATTGTAGCACTATTACTACTTGGGGCAAAGAAGGTGAAAAAGAAGCATTTCATAATATGTTGAAGAATTTTCCTTCTGGAATAGTTTCCATAGTAAGTGACAGCTACGACATATGGAATGCCTGTGAAAATGTTTGGGGACAACAGTTGAAAGATTTAGTAGAAAAAAGGGAAGGAACTCTGGTCATAAGGCCAGATTCTGGTGAACCATCAGAAGTTGTTGTCAAGGTAATGCATTTTATTACTTTCTTATTTTGACAAAAGTACAAACTTTTATGCAGTTCAGAATTTTTTATGTCTCTGAGATCAAAGATTTTAGCAGACTATGTAGCTATAGACTACTTTTCTCACCATTGATTTTTGATTGGTATATCTTAAAAATGGCCAGGGCATAATTATAGTGTTTTTCATGTCTGTCTTCTGTCCTTCTATGAAGCTATTTGCATTTAGCTCAGTTCAAAGCTCAGTTTCAAACAAACTTTTCAAGATATTTTATTGAACTTCACATGCTGATGGATGCTGATGTAATGCCCTGTTCACACTACAAGTTTAAATCACATTAAATTAATGTGAAGTAAACTAATGCGAATTAAATTGCGATCACACAAGTAATGTGGAGTAATCTATAAATGTGAATTAAAACTTTACTTGTACATGCAGTCAGGCCAGGGATGGGGTAATTGAATAAAGTAATTGTAATTGAGTGTAATTAATTACATTTTTCAAAGAAATTGGAAGTAATTTGTATTTGAGCAAGCCTTCAATTACAAGTATTTGAATGTATTTAAATACATTTCAAAAAAGGTCATGTATTTTCAATTACTTTTCAATTACTTTTTTTCAAAATGAAAGTTTATATTTAAAAAGGTGTCTTATACTGATACATATATAGTTTTATAATGGTGGATTTATATTACTTATTCCCATGTTTGATCAGTTCTCCCTATTCCCACTTGCAAATAACAAAGATTGTTTAGATAGTTAATTTGTTTTACAGCAATTAGACTAACTACATCCCCATTTAGATTTACCTGTATTCTATTCATTTTAAGGTAAAGGTCTAATTTTGACTAGTTGTGAACCCCTATTATACCCAAGAACAAAAACACTGAATGAAAGTTCGTTTTGGATCGCTATAGAAAAAATCTTATTAAAAAAAATCTTAATTTTTTTTTAATAAAAATAAAACTTGAAGTAATTGAAATCATTTAATGTATTTAATTACATTTGTCAAAGTAATTGAAAGTAATTAATTACTTTTGAAAAAATCAATGCAATTGTAATTGCAAGTAATTGACAAAATTATCAATGTATTTGAAAGTAATTAATTACATTTCAAAGTAATTGACCCCAAGCCTGAGTCAGGCTATTGCGACGTCATTTGAAAATCATGTCACCTTATGCAGATGCAGATGCATTTGACATAATGTCACAGTGTCTGTACACACATTTTAGTGATTAACACATTTTTCCTTAATTTTTCACTGAAAAATAGCACAATGTCAAGAACTTAAAGCTGACCATTGACATGTGGCATTTAACTTAATTTTGCCACTACGCATGCCTTAAAATTTAATTTGAAGTAGCTTCGCTTAGGGTTCACATGGAGCTTATGCTAAGTAATTTAATGCGCAGTAAATTACTAGCCATTCTCTGTAACCACTTAAACTTCATTGCCACGCATGGTCATCGATTTTGATGAAACTTCACCCATGCTTAGTACTTGACACCAGAAACAAATATCAATCAAAATTTCGTTGCTATGTGTCTCGGTTGCTATGGCAACAGCCGGAAAAGTTTGAAAAATCGAGATTTTCAGCCACTTTAAATCTTGACTGTGGCTTAATAAAAACTAGAAAAAGCAAACAAACCATTCTCACAAAAACGTAACATCTTGATGTCACATACTGTAAAGAAACTGTTTAGAATATATCTCTAAGTAAGTGGTAACCAAGGGTACATTTGGAATACATTTAAAATGCTGAAATATGCTGAAAAACACTCCGTATTCACAAATGGTAGGTGTTACATGCTCAAACTCAATCAAAGACTTAAGAAAAACTATGAAAATGTTTGACCTTCAGTATATAAGTATAAGCAATATCATTCTATAAATAACTTTTATGGTTGCTATGGTAACACAGTGTAACCATGCAAAACCAGTAACCAAGATTGGGTTAATGCTACTGTCGAGGAAAAACATGAAAATTCAAGACTGGCAAATATGCATCCTTAGGACCTTGCAACACCAAAAACATAAGAAAAATTGGGTATAATTGCTACTTTGCATTGTTACCATGGAAACAAAGTACCAGTGCTTAAAAGTGAATTATTTTTCACTGCATTAAGAATTAAATTGCCATTTAATCGAGAAACAAATTAAAGGACTAAGCTTGAATAGTACTTATCTGTTACAACTGAAGTTGAATATTATATATTGATAAAATTTGATGAAGAAAACAACACTGTTGCTATGGTTACCAAGAAGGGAAAATGTTCGATTTTGTGAACTTTATATCAATATTAAACCCTGTGTGCCAACTTCTTGCATCCACTTAGAGATTGGATGATAGTCAAAATTAAAAGTCAGGTTAGCTGTTGATAAATATCAATCATAAAAGATTTGGGAATCTACATTTAAGGGTACGTATCCAAGGAAAGAAAATATTTTTCAAGTTTTTAAGCATATATTTTCTGCTTATTTCCATAGCAACGCTCTATTTAAAGAATCTAATCTGAATTTTTTCAAATGGGAAAACTAGGAGCACACCATCATCTTTAAAAATTGATCATTAGTTATGAGGAAATGCTTTTTTAAAAGATAGGATCAGATTTAAACATACAGAGTGTTACTTTGAAGGCTCTCTGTGGTATAAAAACCTTGGCAACCATTGCCAACCAAAATGAAATATCATATTTTGTTCTTGGTATATGTTTCAAGGCTCTTTTTTCTAGTATTTGGTCACATTTCATCCTACAATTGCTTTTTATTTTTACGTGTATGACTTTAAAAATTCAATGAATATTTTTAGCTCACCTCAACGAAGTTGGGGGGAGCTTATGTGATACCCTTGGCGTCGGTGTCGGCGTCGGCGTCCCGGGTTAAGGTTAAGTTTTTTGGAACAGTTTTCTTTTTAAGTACTTCTATGTCCTATATTGATTAGACATGCATGGAAGATGTTTCTAATGTGTTTCATTGTACCAGTCAAAGTTTCAGATGCTGCAATTTCAGCAAAGGAATGACCAGGTTAATGTTTTTGGTGCAAGTTAACATTTTTGGTGCAGTTTTTGGTGTAGGTCTCATTTCCGAGTAACTATAAGCCCTATGTTGACCAAACTTACATGGATGGTACATCTTAGGATGCATACTACCAGACTTGCTTCGGATGCAGAATCTGACCTACATTTTTCGGTTGAGTGAACAGGTTAATGTTTTTGGTGCAGGTTTCATTTCGAAGATACTATGAGCCCTATAATGACCAAACTTGCATGAATGGTACATCTTAGGATGCATTCTACTAGACTTGCTTCGGATGCTGAATCTGACCTACATTTTCTGGTTGAGTGAACAGGTTAAAGTTTTTGGTGCAGGTTTCATTTCCAAGTTTCTATGAGACATATAATGACCAAACTTGCATGGATGGTACATCTTAGGGATGCATACTACCAGTCTTGCTTCGGATGCTGAATCTGACCTACATTTTCCGGTTGAGTGAACAGGTTAAAGTTTTTGGTGCAGGTTTCATTTCCAAGTTACTATGAGACATATAATGACCAAACATGCATGGATGGTACATCTTAGGATGCATATTACAAGACTTGCTTCGGATGCTGAATCTGACCTACATTTTCCGGTTGAGTGAACAGGTTAAAATTTTTGGTGCAGGTTTCATTTCCAAGGTACTATGAACCCTATAATGACTAAACTTGCCTGGATGGTGCATCTTAGGATGCATACTACCAGACTTGCTTCGGATGCTGAATCTGACCTACATTTTGTGGACGAGTAAACAGGTTAAAATTTATGGTGCAGGATTCATTTCCAAGTAACTTTGAGCCCTATAATGACCAAACTTGCATGTATGGTACATCTAAGGGTGTATTCTACTAGGCTGGCTTCAGAAGCTGAATCTGACCTACATTTTCTGGATTAGTGAAAAGGTTAGTTTTTTATACAGGTTTCATTTCCAAGTAACTTTGAGCTCTATGTTGAACAAACTTGCATGGATGATACATCTTAGGATGCACACTAATGGACTTGCTTCAGATGCTGAATTCGACACATTTTCCAGATAATAGACCTCGTAAAAGTTATGGGTGCAGGTCTATCACCAAGAAACTATACCAAAGTTGCACAAATGATGCATCAAGGGATGAAAACTCTCAATCTTGCTTCAGATGCTGGATTTTAATTACATTTTCATGATGAAGAACTAGTTTGAAGTTTTTATATAGGTCTATTCCAAAGTATCAAAATTGCATAAATTTTGCATATTTGGATGTACACTTTTTATTGGTTAATTGTGTGACTTAATTTGCCTTACTTAAAGACAACATTCGTTGAGGTGAGCTCTGTAATCTCTGATTACCTATGTTTTTTACTTTTGAATACTTTGTTACCATAGTAACGTATGTAATAGTTGATTTACCAAACATATTTATCATGCATTTAAGACATCTGACCTTTAACTTTTGGAAACAGTCATTGCCAATTGTTTGCTTTGCCGCAAATGTTAACTATGGGGTTCTAAACATGTTAAAAAATGCCATTTTTCGATCTTTAAGACATGCTGCCACGGTAACTATAAAACATAGCAACCAATTTTTGCCTGATCTCAGTTTAGGGTATCAATGACTTTTATCATAGAGAGTTTGGAGAAATTCTGAGACTATACGTGCCACAGCTCCTATATAAAATTTCACATCATTACAGAGAATGGCTCTTAATTCAAATTTAACTAATTTACATTAAACTCCCCGTGTGAACATGGATCAAATTTAATTTGCAGTAACTTGCATTTAATTCGAATTAAACTCTCTGTGTGAACAAGGCATAAGATATTCAACTGCATCACATTTTTCACCTTGACTCTTCCTTTGACCTTGACCTCACTTTCTTAAATTAGTGTTTAGCTCAGTTTTAAAGAAACCATCTGCCAAGAATACATGATTTATGGCCATATGTTCTGATTGATAAAATAAGTGAGTCTTATTACAATAGAGAGATATGCATGTCCGAGGAAGCTACCTTATATGCACACTGTTTATTATATTTCTGAATGATGAATCATTGAATCATACTTGTTGACTAGGTGTTTATATTCTATCACAAACATATGGTTAAGGTCAATTTACACATTATTTCAACATAAATTTGTCAGAAAGGAAAAGTAACTCAGGTAAGTGTAATTGTTTATTGACCTCTTGATACTGCTTTGTTATATTATTTGGTTTTGTATTTTAGGTATTAAACATTCTTGGTAACAAATTTGGTACTATCACAAATTCCAAAGGATACAAGTTGTTACCGCCATACTTGAGGATCATTCAAGGAGATGGAATAAGTTATGAATCATTATCTGGCATCTTGAAACATATGAAAAACCAGGGTTGGAGTGCTGACAATGTGGTGTTTGGTAGTGGTGGAGCCCTTCTACAGAAGATGGACCGCGATACACAGAAATGTGCTTTTAAATGCAGTTATGCGCTCATTAATGGAAAAGAGGTGCTTATGCTTAGGCTAGCTGAAATGAATTTTACATTTAGTGTCATATAAAATTACTTCTTAACATGGGAGATAAAAAAATAAACCAAACAAGCAAGTGTATTTAGTCATTTTATAAGATAAAATATTTTCATCCACTGAGCATATTACCTGTACAGATTTCTTGAGCAGTGGTTTTTTCATGAAATGTACATTGGTGTACACATCAATATTTAACCATTAGCCCTTAATTTGTTTACCAAACTTGAATGCATGATACATCAGAAGATGCCATCTACAAGTCTTGGTTTGGATGCTAGTTATGGATGAATGACCAGGTTAAAGTTTTTTTTAGCAGGTTCATTTTAAAGCACTTGTAAGTACTATGCTATTCAACTTTGTTATTTTAGGATACATGCTACCAAAGTGCTTGAGATGCAGAATTTTACCTACATTTTGAGTAACCATGTTATTTAAGTTATTGAACAGGTAAATGACCTAGAAAATAACCTACCTTAACCAAACTTGCCTGGATGATGCATCAAGGAATGCACACTACCCAGTTGCTTCAGATACTTGACCTACATTTTCAAGATAAATGTCCAAGTTAAAGTTTTCAAGCAGTATCATTCAAGTATAACTTCAAGCCCTTCTGAGACCAGACTTCAATGGATGATGGCTATATAGAATAGTTAGTAACCTTTCCCCAGATGAATGAATAATATTATCTCTTCCCTCAGCTGCATTTCATTTCTGGAATTTTTTTTTGTAATTATCAACTTATCATTTCCAACATATTTTAGTTTTTGACATTTTTTAGGTCACCTGAGTAAACTCAGGTGACCTATTGCTATCCGTTGTTGTCCGTCGTCGTGCATCGTCCTTCGTGCGTTAACATTTGAGCATTTTCAGCTTCTTCTCTGCAACCACTCAACCAAGTTCAACGAAATTTGGCACAAAGCATTTATGGGTGAAGGGGAACAAAAATTATGAATTTCATGATCCCTGCTCCCCTGGGGCCTGAGGGGTAGGGCCAAAACCACTACACATGTAAAATTAATGCAATCTTTAAAAATCTTCTTCTCCTGGACATCAAGCAGTCAAACTGTTTGCATGATTGTATTCAACATTGAGTCCTCTACCAAAATCGTGAAATTCATGGCCCTGGGGTCAGGGGTTCTAATGCTAGGGCGGGGCTAAAGAAGTATATAGTGAAAATGCATTATTTCTTTGAAAATTCCTTCTCTGCTCCTGGGTATTAAATAAACCAACTAAGTACATATTTATGATGAGCAAGAGTGCCTCTACCAAATTTGTGAATTTTATGGCCCCAGGGTCAAGGGCTCTGGTGTTAGGGCGGGGCTCTATTGATTATATAGTGAAAATACATGAATTATTTGAAAATCTTCTTCTCTGCTTCTGGATATTAAATAGACTAACTAAGTGCATAGGTATGATGAGCAAGAGTGCCTCAACCAAAGTAGTGAATTTTATGCCCCAGGGTCAGGGGTTCTAGTGCTAGGATGGGGCTAAATAAGTATATAGTGAAAATACATGAATTCTTTGAAAATCTTCTTCTCTGCTCCTGGGTATTGAATAAACTAACTAAGTATATAGTTATGATGAGCAAAAATGCCTCTACCAAAATTGTAAATTTTATGGCCCCAGCATCAGGGGTTCTAGTTTTAGGGCGGGGCTCTATTGATTATATAGTGAAAATACATGAATTCTTTGAAAATCTTCTTCTCTGCTTCTAGGTATCAAATAAACTAACAAAGTGCATAGTTATCATGAGCAAGTGTGCCTCTACCAAAATTGTAAATTTTGTGGCCCCATGCAGGGTCAGGGGTTCTGGTGTTAGGGCGGGGCACTATTGATTATATAGTGAAAGTACATGAATTCTTTGAAAATCTTCTTCTCTGCTTCTGGATATTAAATAGACTAACTAAGTGCATAGGTATGATGAGCAAGAGTGCCTCTACCAAAATTGTGAATTTTATGGCCCCAAATCTTTGAAATTCTTCTCTGCTCCTAGATATTAAGCAGATGAACTACCTATATAGTTATGAGCAAGGGCCCTAATCTTCCAAAATTGTGAATTTCAAGGCCCCAGGGTCAGGGGTACCATAGAGGGGGGGCTATACTTATATACTGAAAATGAATGAATTGTTTGAAATCTGCTCCTTGGTATTAATCAAATATTTTTGAAAAGCAAGGATGCCTTATCAAAAGTTGTGCAATGTGTTGATCTAGGCCTAAGGGTCAGGGGTTCATGTGTGGTAAAGGCACTACTGATTATTGCTGCATATTACTGATGAGTTGAAATGTGTTTTTTGTTCCCCTACCCTACCTATGGGTATTAAGTAACCAAACTAAGCAACTGCTAAGTGTATAGTTATAATGATCAATAGTGCCTCTTTCAAAATTGTGAATGTCATAGCATCTGGCTTAAAACATGAATTAAATTCAATCACCGGAAAGTTGTTGCATGGGCCTCTTGTTTTGTTTTCATTTCCGACATTTTTCCTAGCACCTTTAGTAAAAGATTTGAAGACTTTAATAGAAAAATTTAAAGGAATAAATTATAAATAAATCATGGAAATCCAATTTCTGAGTTTTGTGTATCTATCAATGAAGTGACTGTGAATAATGAATTTTCACTGGGGCACATATGTAAGTGTTGTGAACTTACAACGAATAAAGATGGTGTGGTGATAACTAAGGAGCGCAACCAGGACATTGAACTCTTTTACCTAGACTTAATTCCATTTTCACTTAATTCGAAAACATTGAAATAAAATTGCTGCACAGGTAAATTCTGAAAATGAAAAAGAAATTGTGTTGGAAATGAAAAAAAGAAAATGTCAAAATTAAATGAAAAAAAAAGTCGGAAATGCTATGCAGATTTCCAGAAATGAAATGCAGCGCTTCCCTTATTTGAGCAACCAAACCTGGCTTTCATCATATGTGCTTGGTTTAGATATTATTTATATGATCCATTATAGAATTTATTGTCAAATCTGAGTGGGCATAACATACAAGATATATACATGATTTGACTTTAAAAAAATGCATAATTATACAGAAAAACTTGTCTAATCTGTATACCACTGGTTCTATAGAAATTACACAGAATTCCAGACAAACGTTTCAACAAACGGAATTCCTGAAATGGTCTAGACACTGACGGATTTTGGAATTTGCAACATTCAGATTAGATGTTTCACTGTATAATATACATTATTATTATATGATTATATAGAAGTATTGAAGTATTTACATAGCTGAACCTGAAAAATTGTACATGTATTGACAATTGCAAATAAAATATGTAATCATGTCAGAGAAGTATCCACTAAATAACCTGTATATAATACAAGCATGGGGTCCTGACTTATCATTGTAGTTTGCTACATCAAATTTTCTAAACTGCTACATATATTTTAGGATTTGTTGAATTCATTATAGGTCAATGTGTATAAACAACCAATAACAGATCCAGGCAAGAAGAGCAAAAAAGGACGTCTTACTTTAGAGTATAGTGATGGCCAATATAGAACTGTAGAAGAAGGAAAAGGTGACTCTAAAAAGGTTCGTTTTCTTTTGAAAATTATGGGAGTTGAAACAAGTACATGTACTCATAAAATTTTGAAAAAGCTCACAAAATATTCGATATCTCCCATAGTGGTTACAGTTAAGTCAATTTATGCAACAGATTTTTTGTAATAATGATTACAATTAATATATGGCCCCCAGTGAACTGTGAAAAAAAAGTAGGTAAATTGCCACAGATATTCAGTGAACATTTCCTCAAAGTCAAAATGGCATCTTTCTGATA